ATCCATTCATATGTGTGGAACTTCGGTGATTTGAGATCTTAAGTGGACTGTGGAGTTTGTGTTAACCGCACACAGACAGTGTGCACTGAAGTGTCAGCTCATTCATTCATTCATTCATTCTTTATTTATTTATTGCCATGCCAGTTACTAAGGCTATTTTCATGGCAAGTTCATTTCAGTAATTAACAAAAATCAACAGTAAAAAATAAATAATTGAATATACAGATTTTTCTGCTTAATACATGTTAAAAATTCTATGTGTCAGCTCAAAATAGCACACAAATAATGTTTGATACCTCTCTGAAAACCCTTTCAGGCTTATTGTGCTGTTTTGGTGACTGCCGCTTTAAATTCAAATTGTGCTCTCAGTCAGAGGGCGGAGCTACAAATGCATATGCCTCAGTGAGATGGGCACTAGTGGGCGGGGCTTTCCCCCTCAGATGACTGGTACATAAGGAGAATGTCCATATGTACCTTGTTTTCATCAAGTCTAATTATGACAAATACAATTTATACACATTTACTATTAGAGGCTGCTGGAGGTGTTAACACAGCAGTGTTTAAACCTGGTTTTTGCATAACAGATCCACTTAAACTTTCCCTAAACTTTTATTTCCACAGCATTGAGTGTGCACTTGTGATGGTTCAGCTGGATGGTGATCTCCCATGCTGCCTCACTGCACTGTGCACATGTCAGGTGTTCTCCAGCAGCTCACGGCACACACCTGTTCCTCGACCTGTAATGAAGACAACAGGGGAAGCGAGACGCTACTTCATCTCGCCGAGGACCATGATGCAACTGTGGGAAACCCTCAGCGATTTGTTCATGAGACTCGAGCTGTGCTTCAGAATATCTGGAGATAGGTCACATTTCTGCATCCAGCGCTGAGACGACAAACTAAAGCGGCTAGAATCGACATGTTCTGTCAGCTGTTACTGGGTTCGTTCACACAGAATGCGCTTTTCCTCTCCAACGCTCTATTCTTCTGTTGTTTTTCAATCTAAACATGCACTGGGTGTGCAGATGTGTGTGTGTGCTTGTGTCTTTTAAAGCATCACACATGTGAGCGCCACATTTAATAGTTGCCATGTCAAGCTGAAAGATCTTCAACTTTCACACTGAGTTAGGCATGGAATAAGATTCTGGTGGTTTGATAAAAATATCACGGTTTCCCAGTATTATGATCACTGCTCTAAAATATATATTCTTTGGTAGTGTCCGGGTACAAAACAACATTTTTTTCCCTCTTTGAACACAATATATATATTAATTTGAGAATTATTTTTGCAGATTTTGAAGCAGTAAACATTCATTCATTCATTCCTTTTCTTTTCAGCTGAGTCCCAAATTAATCAGGGGTCGCCACAGCGGAATGAACCGGATGCGCATCACAACCCAACACTGGAAAACACCCGTACACACTCTTCACACATACACTATGGCCAGTTTAGTTCATCAATTCCCCTAGAGCACATGCATTTGGAAACCAGAGCACCCAGAGGAAACTCACGCCAGCATGGGGAGAACATGCAAACTCCACACGGAAACACCAACTGATCCAGTAGGACTCAAACCAGCAACCTTCTTTTTGTAAGGCGATCGTGCTACCCACTGCACCACCGTGACACTCATTGACCTCTTCTGTCTTCATTAGTTTCAAAAACACTGATTTCTTTTCAAATTAAAACAGCATCTTGGGAGATCTTTTCTGCTGGAGATACTGTTGTCCTAAAATATGTATCTTACATATATCTTGACTTTACCAAATCGTTGGAAACCTTGAAAGCAGTTATCGGCCCATGCCTACACACAGCAGCTCATCGCTGTCAGGTCCACAGCAGAAGACCAATCAAAAGAGAGCGGAGGCGGGCAAGTGTTGCAAGCTTCTGTTTATAGTAGAAGGTTGGCATGACAACTGTTTTATTTACCGGTTTACATCATGTGGAGATGTTCACTGTGGCTTTGTCCAGATATCCAGAGCTCTATGATGTATCTTCATGTGCTTATCATAACATGACCACCGAACTCACCGCTGTTTACTGAGAGTAAACACAGACACAGGGATAATGGAGCGTTTTAAAGTCACGTCAGTCAGCTGGTTTGTCTATAAGCTGATATACGAGTGATGAACTGATGAATCGCGGCTTTAAAATGCTCCAGTGTCTCTGTGTCTGTGGTTACACCAGTGATTGTATATTATATGGACGACGCGACAGCGCCTTTTCCCATTGAACGCTTTGAAGGCAAAAAACGCCTCATGATGGGCACAAACTGTCGCAAAACATTGCTGAAATTGGAGCCTGGGCATGCGCAGAAGGACTGCCTGATGAAGCCAGAGGAGGAGCCGCGGAATCAAGCGTCCAACCAAACGCTTGTACATCAAATCAACCACACCCCTCCACTGAACTTCTCACTTGACCACCCGTATCTGCACTATAACAAAGGCTCGCTAATCTAAATATAAGCACTTACATTTAAAAACACGCGATAATATACGATTTCAAAACTGTGTGATGTAAGCTGTTATAATTTAATAAAGCAACGCATGCTGGACTGCAGAAATAAACCATCCTACATAAACTCTAGCCGGAGTTAGACTAAGCCATAAGCACTAAAAAACAATTCTCTTATAACAGGTTGTTGGTATTTGTTATCTTCATAGGGGTATAAATAACGTTAGTAAAATTTGAACACCGACATATAAACAACACATACATTATAGAAAGGTTTTATTTTTAACTAGCAATCAACAGGACACAAAATACAGCCTACACCAAAGACTTACCATGTGAGGAAAATCATGCATTTAAAAGATAAACACAGCAAGATTTCTGAATTTCAACAGGGTATTTACACATCCCTTATCCCTGCACTATATACAATAATCATCATCGTCAATTTCTACAATAAACTTTGCAGTATTAATACATCAACCGACGTCTATCAGCTGCTGAACATCGCTTCTATATCATTTTGCCTCTGTTTTCATTTGGTTCATGCCTTAATATCTGGCAAAGAGGAATTTACCTTCATTTTAATGTTTATTAGGAGTTTTCAAATAAAAAGCCATTGATACATGATGTATATGAATAATATATAACATTTTATTAAATATATATATATATATATATATATATATATATATATATATATATATATATATATATATATATATATAGTTGAAGTCAGAATTATTAGCCCCCTTTTGATTTTTTTTCTTTTTTTAATATTTCCTAAATCATGTTTAACAGAGCAAGGAACAGTATATCTAATAATATATTTTTTTCCTTCTGGAGAATGTCTTATTTGTTTTATTTCTGCTAGTATAAAAGCGGTTTTAATTTTTTTAAAAACCAATTTTGGGACAAAATTATTAGCCCCTTTGAGAAATATTTTTATATTACAGAACAAACCATCGCTATACAATAACTTGCCTAATTACCCTAACCTGCCTAGTTCACTTTATTAACCCAGTGAAGCCTTTAAATGTCACTTTAAGCTGTATAGAAGTGTCTTGAAAAAATATGTAAATAAGTGTCTTGATATATATGTATGTATATACATATACACATATATATATATATGTTTCAGATTTTATATTAAAATGTCAAAGAAAAAGTATTGCATCCCAGTGATCAGCGAACAATATAGTAACACATACTGCACATGATTACGCTTAAATAACTGAGGGAAACAATTGAACACATGAGATTGAGGTAAAGTTGGTTTAATATTCGCATATTTGTTCATTTAACTGTCTCTATGTTGTTTGAATATTGTTTTATTTGAATAATTTGAATATTCAATCAGAATTAGCATGACGTCAAAACAACATCAACACTATCTAACTGACTGTAAACATGGTTGTACTTTGATAGTCTTCAGCTGCTAATATGATTTCCCTATTTAGAACTAGTAAACAAAACTCTTCTGAAATAATATTATTAAGCAGAATGTCTGAATATCCCAATATAAAACCAACTTTACCTCAATACACATCAGCTCTAGTGATAAGCAGCACAAAGCCCTGTGAGCAGATCAACTCCAGATGATGTGAACACAGCCTGCGCAGTGAAGCAGTGAGGATGCTGAGGGTGACACTAATGTGTGTCAGTGTGGCTTACTTGCTCTAGTCTAAATGAACCTGTCTGCATGTTATTTCACACAGCTGTGCAAATACTCGTCCTGATAATGAGCTGGGATGCTCACTAGTGTGTGTGTGTGTGATGCAGCTTACGTCTACCTTTATGCTCCCCATGTAGGCAGCACACTCGATTAGAGACAGGGCCAATAGCTTAGCAAGAGAGTAACTGCTGCTTTCTAACAATAGAACACACACAGATCATGCGTGTGTGAAGGGAACACAGCACACACGGGCACGTCACACACGCTACAGAGCCAAATAAACGACAATAAACACACACAGGTCTCTCGCCGAACACACAATCTGCTCATTTACAAACGAGCCCTCTGGCTAACCACAACGCAACACAAAGTCAGTTGAAATACCTCAAATATACACATTTAAACAACTGGAGTGTGTTTTACAAGCGAAGATACACACAAAACCTCGGTGTTTTTGCGTATGAACCCGGGAGTGTGTTGAAGAATCGCCTCATCGCTCGCGCTCATGATGCTAGCTAGCGTTAGCCGCTTAGCAACACCTGCTTCGTGAGAAGATGATGCTGCGCTTCCACTGAACACCCTCATCACCGCGTTTTCTGCGCACAGATCTCACAAACACACTCCAGCACGCGTTTATTCGCGAGCACACACTGCTCAGACTGCGGCAGACGCCGTTTCTCCTCAGCTTTGGGAAATGAAAGCCGACGAGAAGCGCAACATCTGGACGACGAGCCGCATCAATAGAAGCGGAGCGGAGCGTCAGAGAAAGAAGCGAGCCGAGCTCCACAACACACACACACACACACACTCATGTCACAGCGCAATCATCACACTCACACACACAGAGATCTGCAGATCGGATGGTCATATTCACCTGGATCGGTGTGAGGATGAGGATGAGGATGGTCGGAAGGTGGTGGTAAGGATGGAGCGGACAGGAGGAGGTTGTTGTTGTTATTGTTGGTGGGTTACAGTCGCCAGGACTACGGTGACTATGGCGCTGCAGCTCAGGGCAACGGTTGCTATAAAGCTCGCCGCGTACACCAACTTGACGCTGCGGAAAAAGGGCGGAGCTTACGCTAGTTGGCTTATAAAGCTCGATGCGCAACCGAACCTGACGCTGCGGGAAAGGGGCGGGACTCCCAGCTGTGGAGATACAACAGACAGCTCAACCGAACGAAAGAAGGCGGAGTCAGCGAGCATCTTCTATTTAATGTGCGGATTATATAAAGGATGTGTGGATGTTGAGGAGAGCTCGATGTCTTACTGTCGCGCAGAGTTTTACTGTAGAGCTCTTACAGCTCCTCCGACGGCAGAGTTCAGCCTGTTTCCAGAGGCAGTTTCAAAAAAGTGTGGAGAATTGCATATTTACAGACATGCTTCATCACATTACTCATTCAGTCATTCTCCTTCAGCTTATTCCCTTTATTCATCAGGGGTTGCCACAGCGGAATGAACCGCCGACTTATCCAGAATATGTTTTAGACAGCAGATGCCCTTCCAGCTGCAACCCAGTACTGGGAAACATCCATACACACTCAATAATTAAGTAATCAATTAATGTATTTATTTATTCATTCATGTATTTATTTATTTATTCAGTTATGTATTCATGTACTTATTCATTCATTCATGTATTTTTCATTCATTCATTCATGTAATAATTCATTCATTCATTCATTGATTCATTCATTCAGGTTTTTATTTATTCATTCAGTTATGTATTCATGTACTTATTCATTCATTCATGTATTTTTCATTCATTCATTCATTCATGTAATAATTTAATAACTTATTTATTTATTCATTCAGGTATTTATTTATTCATTCAGTTATGTATTCATGTACTTATTCATGTATTTTTTATTCATTCATTCATGTAATAATTTAATAATTCATTCATTCATTCATTAATTTATGTATTTATTCAATTATTCATTCATGTATTATTTTATTCATTCATTTATTTATTCATTCATTCATGTATTCATACATTCAAGTATTTATTTATTCATTCATTTATGTATTCATGTATTTATTCATTCATTCATGTATTTTTTTCACTCATTCATTCATTCATTCATGTATTTATTTGTATATTTAATCATTCATTCTTTCATGTAGATTCACTCATTTATTAATTTACGTATTTATTTATTCATTCATTTATTTATGTATTCCTTTATTTATTTATTCATTCATGTATTTATTTATTCATTCATTTATTTATTCATTCTCTCATTTATTTATTTATGTATTCATTTATTTATTCAGTAATTCATTTATATATTCATTTATTTATTTATTAATTCACATATTCCTTTATTCATTCATTCATGTATTTATTTATTTATTCATTCATTCATTTTTTTGGTTATCATCTGTATAAAAAGTATTAGATTGTACGTGTAGACTTTTTTGTTTAGTGCTAATAAAAAAACCTAAGAAATATATTTTACATATTTAATTGATAAACATTAACATATAATAAAATAAAAAATAAAATAAAAAACCGACAGACACAGGAGATGCTTTAGGAGAATAACTTTTTCATAAATAGTCATATTTTTGACTTGTTTTGAGGGGATGGCAATGCCTGATTTGTACTTAAACCCATCAAAGTTAAATGATGTCAATTGAGTGTATAAAACTCTTGGTAAGTAACACCAGTGAGATATTCCCACCAAGCCCTGTATTCATGCTTTCATTTCAGAATAAGGCGAAGCAGTGGCGCAGTAGGTAGTGCTGTCGCCTCACAGCAAAAAGGTCGCTGGGTCGGTTCAATCCTTGGCTCAGTTGGTGTTTCTGTGTGGAGTTTGCATGTTCTCCCTGCGTTCGCGTGGGTTTCCTCCGGGTGCTCCGGTTTCCCCCACAGTCCAAACACATGCAGTACAGGTGAATTGGGTAGGCTGAATTGTCCGTAGTGTGTGTGTTTGTGTGTGAATGAGTGTTTGTGGATGTTTCCCAGGGATGGGTTGTGGCTGGAAGGGCATCTGCTGCGTAAAAAATATGCAGAATAAGTTGGCGGTTCATTCCATTGTGGTGACCCTAGATTAATAAAGGGACTAAGCCGACAAGAATAAGAATGAATGAATGATTTCAGAATAACTACAGTTCGTGAAAGAGCTCAAAGCCAGAGTATTGTGTGTGCAGTGTTTAATAGTGTTGACACTGATGGAGGATTTGCACATTCATTCAGCTTTGAAAGACAGACTACTGTTAAATAAAAAGCTTTCAAATACATTTTCAATAGTCATATTTCCTTTTATAATGCCACATCGGGGCGGCACGGTGTCTCAGAGAATAACACTGTGGCCTTTCAGAAAGAAGGTCGCTGGTTCGAGTCCCGGCTGGGTCAGTTGGCATTTCAGTGTGAAGTTTACAGGGTTGCAGCTGGAAGGGCATCCGCTGTGTAAAACAAATGCTATAATAGTCGGCGGTTCATTCCACTGTGGTGACCCCTAATAAATAAAGCTGAAGGGAAATGAATGAATGTATGCTTTCCAAATAATCAATCTTTACAGCATAACTCTAGATTCGACAATAACAGGTTTCAGTAAATGAGTGTGATGTTTTATTAGCCTGCACTACAGTGTTATGGAGACACGGAACTGATCCAAACATCATCCAATAAAGCTTTGCAGTGCACAACTGTTGCTGTCAGTGATTTTGAAGGTTCTCACAATGAAGATAATTTACATGCACAGATGATTTCAGTAAATAAAACCTACACATGCTTTATGTACACATATTTACACATCATCAGTATGGCTTTCATCTCTAATAAGTGCATTTTGCTGTCACTGTTCATTCATAGCTTCGCTTATTTGTGATCTGTTTACATACAGAGGCTGGAAAATACTCAAATATCAAAGCCTGTGCGGTTATTATAAAGAGAGAGAGAGATGCATCAACAGGTTTATTAAAGGTTGTCTGTTTAAAATACACATTTATCCTGTGATAAGTGCTTTCTGTTGTTTGTTGGTGAGCTGTGTACAGTTAAAGACCAACACTGAGTATCTAACATCTCCCAAGTGCTGTTTAATGAAATGTAATATACATTCTTGTAGAAGCACTGGAAAGAAAACGCTTCCTGGTATTTGGACTGGAATCCAGACAGAAACTGTAGGTAAAGGCATTTTGCAGTGTGTGGCGGAGACGCTCAGCCTTCAGTGAACACACAGGAGATCCGGCTCGGACATCTCGGGATGTGAAGATAATTGTCCTCCGACACTGAGGGCTCCTGCTCTCCTATAAAGCCTTGAGGGCCGCTCTGGCAGTCCAGCACTGCTGTCATAAACACACACAGCATCCACAAGCATGAGAATATATGGCAGGCGTTCACAGTAGGCCTGTATGATTCAGTATTCTCTTGTTAAGTGTGACGACAGGCTAAGCGGCTTTCGGGTCCAAGCGCCTTATCAAACCATCAACTGGTAATAATAAATGTTTATGTATGTACAGTTGAAGTCTTAGCCCCCCTTTTAATTTTATTTCTTTATTAAATATTTCCCAAATGATGTTGAATAGGTTAAGGAAATGTTCACAGTATGTCTGATAATATTTGTTCTTCTGGAGAAAGTCTGATTTGTTTTATTTAGGCTAGAATAAAAGCAGTTTTTAATTGTTTTAAAGCCATGCTAAGGTCAATATTATTAGCCCCCTTAAGCTTTTTTCGATAGTCTCCAGATCAAACCATCATTATACAATAACTTGCCTAATTACCCTAACTTTACCCTAATTACCCTAGTGAAGCCTTTAAATGTCACTTTAAGCTGTATAGAAGTGTCTTGAAGAATATCTAGCCTAATATTATTTACTGTCATCATGACAAGAGTTGACAACAGAGAAGTTGAGAACAGAAGTTGGGGTAAAAAATAAACAGGGGGGTGAATAATTCAGGGGGGCTAATACTTCTGACTTCAACAGTATGTTTAATGTAATATATTCGAAAATCCCGATCGCAATATATGTGTCCATGCCAAATATCAGATGACCAGAACGTGATTATTTTTTAGAAATTGTTTAAATATTAGTGTGCGACAGGAGTTCTCAACATTTTCCACAGGGGGGCGCACTTTTTTTCTCTTATCAATTGTTGAAGGCTCACCTGTCTGACATGTTCTCTAAAATGTTTGCATGAAATGCTCATTTAAACCTTGATTTATTAACAAATAAAAAATTATATATTAAAAATAGAAATATTATACATTTGTTGTGCTTTGTGTTATTTTCCACCCAAGCTCATTCTGAAAACGTAGTCCCGCGGACGTTTCCGGAAACCGCGATTTACGTAGCTGGATGTACGTATGGCTGCATTTCATTTATTTTAAGCGAATGCTACAGGGCGGTGTGACGCCGCTCCTCTTCGCGCTCGCTGGCTGACTGCTCACCTCCATGTGGAGGACTTTCCTGCCGCAACCAGTTTGTCTGGTTAACTCGTTGTGTAAGACGGCGGAGTGGAGATCCGGAGGGGAGCTGTCCGCCACGACCAGGGTTTGAGCCCGGGAAAGATCGGTTCCGGAAATCAGGTAAGACAAAAACAGAATCCAAAAAATAAAACGACTGAGTGAACAACAGCGTGAGAATGTGGTGAGATCGGAAAACAGGGTCAAAATCAGACGAGGGCTTTTCTTTTTCTGGACGGCTTTTGTAAATCATTGCTTGGGTTTAGGGAAGGAAGCGGGCGGCCAGGCGGGTCAATCGGTAAAACCGGTTAGGTTTAGGGAAGGAGGAGGAGGGGGTGGGTTGGCCAATTGGCCGGTCCCCCAGTCAATCCTTCAGTCAGTCGGACAGACAGTCACTCGACAGCGCCCTCCAGCGGCTTTATGCGAGCACAGAGGCGTTCGAGATGCAAAAAAGCGTACACAGAGGCCTCACGCGCATTCGCGAAAACAAAGTCTGCACAAATACGTACCTTCCAGGATGTATTTCTCGGTCCCCAGAAACGTTTGCGGGACTACGTTTCCAGAATGAGCCGGAAATTATTTTAATTCTATTATCAGAATTTTATAAAAAAATCTTTAATTTTATTTACATTTATTTTAAATATAAAATTTAAAATTAAAACTATATAATATGTATTATATATATATATATATATATATATATATATATATATATATATATATATATATATATATATATATGCAGTTGAAGTCAGAATTGTTAACCCCCTGATTTATTAACGCACCTTTTTATTTCTGTTTAAGGGAGAGAAGAATTTTTCAACACATTTCTAATCATAACAGTGTTAATAACTCATCTCTAATAACTGATTTATTTTCTCTTCTCCATGATGACAGCACGTAATATTAGACTAGATGTTCTTCAAGACACTAGTGTTCAGCTTAAAGTGACATGTAAAGGCTTCACTAGGGTAATTAGGGTAAAGTTAGGGTAATTAGGTAAGTCATTGTATAACAGTGGTTTGTTCTGGAGACAATCCAACACTAATATTGCTGAAAGGGGCGAATAATATTGACCTTAAAATGGTGTTTAAAAATGTGAAACTGCTTTTATTCTAGACCAAATAAAACAAATCAGACTTTCTCCAGAAGAACAAATATTATCAGACATACTGTGAACAATTCCTCAATCTGTTCAACATCATTTAGGAAATATTCTGACTTCAACTGTGTGGCACACAAAGACAACACAACATCACACAGCCTGATTGTCCCAGTATTAGTGTGTGTGTGTGTGTGTTTACCGGAGATGTTGCTGTGGATCTGAGGCGACGAGCTGAGATTGTCCTCAAACATGGGCGTCTGCATGACGGAGCAGGAGGAGATGTGTTTGTCTGAGTCGGCGTATGAAAACACAGCCGAGAAACCTGAGCAGAGTTAACGCAACAAATACAAACATGATCAGATTATTCACAGCGCAGCCTGTAATCCTGCTGTAATCCGGTAATGTCAGACTCCCCTTCCTCACACTGACATCTGAACTCGGGGAAACTTTCTGCGGTCTGCATGATGAGATTAAACGGATCTATTTTTGCAGAACCGCAATCTGTTGCTGTACGAGTGTGTGAATCATTCAGCGCCGATCGGTTTGTTCTCCGCTTACACTCCTAAATATGCATAATCAGTGCATATGGCTTGTGTGGAGATATACACTGAAAAAGCGTATAAGTGGTGGCAAAGGGTGGCGCAGTGGTTAGCACTGTGGCCTCACAGCGGGAAGGTTGCTGGTTCGAGTCCCAGCTGGGTCAGTTGGTGTTTCTGTGTGGAGTTTGCATGTTCTCCCCATGCTAGCGTGGGTTTCCTCCGGGTGGTCCGGTTTCCCCCACAGTCCAAACACATGCACTAAACTAAATTGGCCGTAGTGTATGAGTGTGTGTGTGTGTGTGAATGAGTATTTATGGGTGTTTCCCAGTACTGGGTTTCAGCTGAAAGGGCATTCATGTGTAAAACATACACTGGAATAGTTGGTGGTTCATTCCACTGTGGCGACCTCTGATAAATAAGGAACTAAGCCGAAAGAAAATGAATGAATGAAGTGGTTCTGATATGGGCTGAATTTTACAAACAAATGAAGTTGAACATTGCTAATTTTAATTTGTTTGTTTAAATTCAGCCCATATCAATAGTTTGCAAGCAGTTACCTTAAACAAACTGAGTAAATCCAATGAATTTCTGCTGGCAATATTATTATTGATATCTTTTTTCAGCGTATATAGAGCTGGATGCCACACAGATGCATCATTAATCCAAACTGTAAAATGCAGATTATCAGCAGCGCTGAGTGTAATTAGCTACAAATGAACTAATTCATGTAATTAAATGCTAAATAAGTAAAGTAAGGGATTCATTAATTAGTTAACACATTTAATTCCATTTACTTATAACGTACTTGCCTTAAATAGCTTATATAAATTTAGCAGTTGTGTATAAATCAACTCAGAGAAGCAGATTAATTAGTATTTTTTTACTTTCTTACATCAAATGTTTTATTTTTGGAATTAAATGTGAACACAGAAAATATGATGCAGACCATCAGCATATAACAGTGGGGTAATGAACAAACTACAGGAATAAAGGAGGTTGATAAATAATAATATAATAATATTAATAATGCCAACAACAACAACAATAGTAAAAATAAAAAGGATAAACCAAAGGATAAATGACAGAGCCTGTATTTTTTAAATCTAATTATATTTTGCACAATAATTCTATTTTTACTATAAAAGCTTGTTTATCAGGATGATTGCATATGCGTTTGAAAAACTCAGTTGAGCAATTAGTTTATGAAAATATACATATACATATATATAAATATACATATACATATTTATAAATATAAACTGTATTTTTTGTTATATACATACATTTTACAGAACAATTCTATTTTTCTATAGAAGGTTACGTTTATCAGAAGGATTGCATATGCTAACAAAATTTTTATTAATATTAGTTTTAATTAATCTTAATTTAATTAATTTAAATTACATTAATTAATTAATTAATTCAAATTAATCATTAATTTTAATTAATTTTACAGCTGCAATGTTTCAACAGCCAGAGAATATATTTCAGTAGTCATCTACTGTATATATGCAATTGAAATACTGAAATAATTAATAATAATAATAATAATAATAATCGTCGCCACAGCGAAATAAACCGCCAACTTATTCAGAATATGTTTTAAGCAGCGGATGCCCTTCCAGCCACAACCTGAAACTGGGAAACACTCATTCAGTCTTGCATTCACACACATACGCTATGGACAATTTAGCTTATTCAGTTCCCCTATAGCGCATGTGTTTGGACTGTGGGGGAAACTGAAGCACCCAGAGGAAACCTACACCAACACTGGAGAACATGCAAACTCCACACAGAAACACCAACTGACCATGATGGTCTATATTATTATTATTATTATCATATATTATTATATATATATATTTATTATTATATTATTATTATTATTATTGTATATTATTATAATTATATAATATTTATTATTATATTATTATTATATTATTATTATTATTCATATATTATTATTATTATTATCATATAATATATATATATATATATATATATATATATATATATATATATAATTATATTATATTATTATTATTGTATATTATTATAATTATATCATTTATTATTATATTATTATTATTATATTATTTTATTATTATTATTATTAATATATTATCATTATTATTATTATTATATTTTTAGAATTATATTATTATTATTATTGTATTATTATATTATAATTATTATTTGTAATATTATTATATTATATGATTATTATTAATATAATATTATTAATACTATTATTAATCTGTTTTTATCATCATTATTCATATTTTTAACTGAATGACCTCTCAATTCCTTTTTCATTTTATCTACTTGTTTTTTTTATAATTATTTCCTTTTATATTTATTATTCCTCTATTTCTAACTATAACTCCTGTACTGCATGGCTGGCATATTGTTCAGCTTATTGTTGTTTAGTGGTTGATTTGCTGGTGTTGTCCTCATGTGTAGGTCACTTTGTGACATGCTTAATGATTAAATGTACGTGCAGATCAGACAGGTCGTACCGTCCTGAGCAGATGTCCTGGGCTGACTGCAGAATCCCGGAGCTTTGTGGCTGTTCGGGCTGAGAAACCTGAGAAACAACACAGGCTCACATTCAGTCAACTCTAAAAGCATCTGTTGCAGTGTGTTTGTTGGGTATTGCTGCCATTTTATGATTCACGTGTTGAATTCCTGCTCGGTGGCTATAGTGCCGGAGCAATGAAACGGAGCGAGTCTCGATCTCGGCAGCCGATTGTGTTTTTCGGACCCCGCGGTGCTTTGAAGAGTGTGTGTCTGAGAGCCCCGTCCAAAAATATAACCACAGAAGACGTGCAAACCACACAAAAGCGCAGCGGAGCCTTTCAGCGCAGAAAAGCCTGCTTTATTTCAATCAGATTATTGCAACTACGCGCTCGCAGCCATAAAGCCATGACAACCAGCCGCGCATTTACCGCAGATCACAGCAAGAGAAAAGCAGCTTCTCTCTCTTTTTTTGCAACTCAAGGGAAAACTCCGGATGAATGTCAACTAGACTGTGGCAACTTTCTCGATTGAGGTTGGACCAGAAACAGAGTAATGGAGGAAAAACATACAGCATTGAGCGGCGGATTATTGGACTGGATTGGTGGAGCTGTGAAAGACACCGGCGCATAGAAGTGATGCCAGCTTCATGTCCAGGCTAACCTGTCTGATCTCTGACTGAATACAAATGCACCTTCATTTTCTCCACTCGTACACGCAGGAATGTCTGTTGTTTTCAAGTCTTTCAGGCTTCAAGCGAACGAGCTGGCAATTTGAAGCCCAGCAGGAGCGTTTTAGAGGAGCCTCGGCTGCTTCTCAAGGGAGCGAATTTGAGCATTGTAATAATAGAAGCAAATGAAACTGAATGTAGGTGACGTTTGCTTAAATATGAGTGGACAATTGTGTCACGATCACCAGCGATCTAACCCTCATAGATCACTGGAGAACATTCACATTAGAACTACAAATCCACCATTACACGGACTACGAGATCCAGTCATGCACCACGCACACACCTGGCCTAGATCCCCATGACTGCAGACACACACAGCTGAAGCTACTCATGAACTGATTACATGAGCTAAAAAGTCAGCACACAAACACACAGTAGTCGCTGAGTCATGTTAAACTAGTGAACATTGCGATGCGTTTCCCTTGTTTTACATTGTCATGTTAGACTCTAGCTTTGTTTTGTTTGTTTATTCCTGTCTGCTGCCTGCCTTTTTGTCCATCTGCCTGTTTATGGTGGTGGGCAAAAAGCGAGGCTTCATGAAACACTAGCTGCGTCCCAAATCACATACTTATGCACTATTCTACGCCATGTTGTAGTATAAAAAGTGTAAGTAGCGCGTTCACACTGAACACTCTAATAATAGTAAGTGCACTTTAATTACCCGGATGATGCACTCATTCAGCCGCTAAAATGTAGTGTGTAATGATGGACACTTCACGCACTCAACGACCGCAGGTTCGCTTACGTAGCGGAATGGGCGGAGCTATCGGACGCACATGTTGAATAACTTTATTTATTTTGGATGGTGAAAGCAAAATTCTGCTTCGAGAGTGATTATAGCGCCTCCCGATGGTGAATGCGGCAATACTCACGGCAGGTATTATTTGATAATTCATATTATATTATTTGATAAATTTTAATTTCCACTTAGTAAAAAACCACTGGTGTGCCATTTGGGACGACACTACATACATATACTATCCTGTTGAGTGTGTAATGCTGTGTTCACACCAGACGTGGAACGCGCGGATAAATCGTGCTATTCACGCGTAAATTGCCGCGTGAACATTTGAGTTTACTCGCTTCATTCGTGCGTCAAATCCGCTTTATTCGCGCGTCAAACTCACTTCAGAACAGACGCGGATTCGCGTGATGGGCAGGGCTTCTGTCTGCCCGGTGACTCTAGCTTCATAGCTAAATGGCTAACATGGATTTTATTGAGAAAATAACAGTGTTTATGTGCTTTATGAAGGCTGAAAAACAGTGTCGATACGTTTAGGGTCGTGTCTGAGTCCACTACATGCTTTCAGATGTGCATCCAGTTCTGTGAGCTCAAAAACTCCTCCAGAAACTGAACCTGGATGATGGAGGCTTTCAGCGGTGCTAATGACTGAGCCAAGCCCAGTTTGATGAAGTGTGCAGAACAGGCGATACGTCACAATCACGCCCCTACAAGAGCAAGCTCCTGATTGGTTAACGCAGCGCGAATGTCCGCTAAAGTTCAGATTTTCGAATTCGAGTGATTTGCGCAAAACGCGCGTCAAATGCACAAATAGCTCAATTCGCGCCACGCCATTCGCGCCACGTCATTCGCGCTTATCGTGCCGCAGGATGTCTATTCACTCGTTTGCATTGACTTAACATGTACATCACTCGCGATTGACACTCGTTCCCTGTCTGGTGTGAACGCAGCATAAGTGCATAAGTACATAGTGCATGAGTGCATAGTGCATAGTGTGCCATTTGGGACAGAGCTAAAGAAACATCCAAAGCAAATGTGTCGAAGCTTCGAAACCCGTCTCTACAGTGACACCTAGTGGTCACTTCTTATATATTGCACTGGAACAGCTTCAGCTAAGAACCAGTTGAGCATACATAAATTCAAATGTAATTAATTTCTTCAATTCAGTATAAATTCTATTAACACGCTATTTTTTGACTTAAGTTCTGTCTGTAACAAGTATTGGTGATGATCGGGATGCAGTTCAACAGATGATTCGTCAGAGAAATCCACCTTCTAACACATTTACACATCATCAACTATAGGTCAGGTTATTATGTGTTGCTCTTACAACTGGGATCAACGTCAGGACGTTTGTCAGGTAGTGCAGTACTGGCGAAATCTGCCATGATCAGAACTTTTATCATTTAAATGAATGTAGATGTGAAAATCGACTCTCTTAATTACACTTAATTAGTGATAAATTGTTCCTGATAATTGGTGTGAAATTGATCCAAAAGTGCCATCTGGTCAGATGTAAACCTCTGGAATGAATTAAAACCAATGTTTATTTGGTAAAGAGACCACTGAAGTGGAAAAATACTGTGGCAGTCAATGGATAAGGTCAGCTGTACGGTTACTGACAATATTCAAAATAAAACCATGTGTTCAGCAGAAAAAAGAAACTCGGGCAGGTCTGGAAAAAACTAATAGTACATTTCCATCATTGAGTGAAATATTGATTTGTGCTCAACACATTTGATGACAGCGATCCCACCTGTTGTTTCCCTGTAATGGTGGCAGTGCTCCATGTGGAGAGAGATGAGTCTGGTGAATCTGCTGGATCTGATGAGTCAGGTGAGTCTGATGAATCTGCTGGATGTGATGAGTCTGAGTCTGGTGAGCCTGATGGGTCTGGTGAGTCAGATGAGTCTGAGTCTGATGGATCTGATGAGCCTGGTGAGTCTGATGAGGACTTTGATGAGTCTGTGGACCGCCTGCGATCTGCATTGGGCTGTTCAGGGTGTTTGTTTGGCTCGGCTGGTTCAGGGTGAAGACTTGCCCATCGACAGAAGAGAAAAACAGAAAACCATCACCCTTAAGCACAACAGTGGTTAGATTAGCTAGCTTTAGCCCACGCTTTCATGTATAAATAACTCAACAAAAATATTCTGAAAGCTTTGTATAGCCAATTACACAGAACATGCTTTACACGGCACTGCTGCTGCCGTCCTTCACTGTGAGGAATGGCATGTAATAGAGGGACTTATTTCACCCGTGTGCTCAGGTCTTTTGCGTTCAGTATCATGCTATGCTGTTACCCTTCATAATATGCAAAGGCATTTCTTTAATGAAATGAGAGACATGTAAGCTGTCAAAGAGCATGTTCTAACAATGGCGCAGTCATCGGCTTGATGGGGATTGAATGAAATGATAACAAAAACATATACTGAATCTTCCATCATAAATGCCAAAGATCATTTATCTTTATATAATCCTCTGAAGCAGGGCCTAAAATCAAGCAAAGCTTCTCCACAATGTCGTCTGTAGCTTTAAAATGCACGAGCACTTCAAATTTCAACTGGCTGTCAGTTTGTTATTGTTTATTAGCTGTGCTGGGCCAATAAACAAGATCATATTGAATCGTGATCAACTTTATATTGATAATGATGATATCCAGGGCTTAACATTAACACCAGCCAATCCGCCAAATGCGGGGAGACTTCAGCTTTAGACAGTCACTCCCACTTGCCACTTTGACTGGTCAAAAATTATTTTTAAATTGTGGTTTTCTTAGCAGCAGGGTTCGACTATAAGGATGACCCAATATGCGTGCAAATGTGATCTTAGAATCGGGAAACAGCACGACTAACAAAAAAATTAGAGTTCGTGCGAGCTGAAGAAAGCAGATGAATACCGAGAGGATGAACACTTGTGGCGAGGCAGTGGCGCAGTAGGTAGTGCTGTTGCCTCACAGCAAGAAGGTCGCTGGGTCGCTGGTTCGAACCTCGGCTCAGTTGGCGTTTCTGTGTGGAGTTTGCATGTTCTCCCTTCGTTCGCGTGGGTTTCCTCCGGGTGCTCTGGTTTCCCCCACAGTCCAAACACATGCGGTACAGGTGAATTGGGTAGGCTAAATTGTCCATAGTGTGTGTGTGAATGTGTGTGGATGTTTCCCAGAGATGGGTTGCAGCTGGAAGGGCATCCGAGGCGTAAAAACTAGCTGGATAAGTTGGCGGTTCATTCCGCTGTGGTGACCCCGGATTAATAAAGGGACTAAGCCGACAAGAAAATGAATGAATGAATGATCACTCGTGCAAAGAGCTGATGTGATGCGCGAGACTGTTTTAAGCGCGTGCGCGCTCCTGTTTCCTTGCTTGAAGCAATCGTGCCAGGAACGCAACTGTGATCCGTTCTCTTTCAAATAGTCAGACAAAAAAGGTAAACTAATGCACACACAGTCTTGCTGCTTTCAAGAGCTCCAAAATAAGTCTTTTTGTAAGCAGCACCGGTTGCTTTCGCTTTGAACAGCATATTAATCGGCTTTAACCATGTGATCATCCTTCCATTATCACAGTATGTTTATCACCTGCTTTCTTTAGCTTACGGTTGTTTTTGTTAATATGGTTTAATTATCATTTTTTTACAACAACGTTGCTTTTATATGAGATTAACTCTCCATTTATGTGTAGTCAACAGTCGAACTGAGAGACCTTTAGCAAGGACAGATTAATGCGCATATTTTTAATACATGACACTTATTATTTTTAAAAGTCAATTATTTTTCTTTGTTTTTTTTTTAAAGAAATGTTTTGTTAAATAAAAAGTACAGCATACAGCTATATTGAGCTTGTTTTGACACATTTAAAATTTGTGGCTAAGAAATAAGTGAAGTTTTTAAACTAATTAAGAGGAGCACGTGATATGATTGACTGCAGCTGGCCGACTATCTACACTCATTAGTTCGCCAATCAGATCTATCCTAACTCACAATAAGTAGCCTAGCTAGATATTACTCCCTTATCTTCGTTTTCTGAAGAAACCCCCCATCCACCCCCTTTCTCCTCCTTTTCTCCTTTACAAAAAAGGGGAGCTCTTGAGAACCACCTGATCTCGTACTCCCCTCACATGCTCTATGGACCAGGCGGGAGCCCTGGGCTCAACTATCTCCGAGCTCAGGGTTCTCTCCCGGGACAGCATGCCAAACCTGCTTACAGTTGTCAAGCAATATCCAACCTGGGCTTATTGTGGAAACGTAGCCCCGCGGACGTTTCTGCGGACCGCGATTTACGTCCCGGGAGGTACGTATTCGAGCGTTTTTTTGTTTTCGCGGATCCGTGAGAGGCCGCTGTGCGCGCTTTTTTGCGTCTCGGGCGGGCGCCTCTTGGGAGCGCGCGACGTTTGCGCCTGCGCCGTTCTCGCGCGAAAAGCCGCCGGATCAGAAAAAAACGAAAAAAAAAACAAAAGTCCTCGTCTTCGATTTCGACCGCGTTTTCGGATCCCGCCGCGTTCTCGCCCTTATTTTTCGGATTCTGTTTTTCGTCTCACCTGATTTCCGGAACCTGCTGTTCCCCGGACTCGATCCCGGTCGTGGGTCTCCAGAAAATGTCCGCGGGGCTATGTTACCAGAATGAGCTTGGGTTGGCAATATCTAAGTGTGAACTCTTGAATCATAGTTTGGAGTGGTCAGAGATCAATTTGGTAAATCCTTAATTTTGAGTTCTGAAAAGTGACGTGAAATAAAAACTAATCGCAGTATAACACTATAAAACCATGACCTATTTGCTCATACACCACACACAAAATGTGAAACGAATGAGGAGGCATGTGGACAAAACACACCATCTAAATCAAGTAATTTAAGCAGGTGAAAGTCATATTTACGCATATAAAAAATATTTTCCCAACAGCAAAATTGTGGCGAGTGAAAATGCAGAGTAATGTTGGAAAACTACTAGCCACTGTGGCTGGTGATCAAAACAGCTAATGTCAAGCCCTGATGATAACTCTGGACATGTTTACTCAATATTGATCCTAAGTGCCAATCACACATCAGAAAAATGCAACAACAGGAATATATAATTATGTTGATATTAGAGAATAACCAAATTTTTGGCTGCTGAATATTATCATCTGAAAATAGTTTATGCTGCGTCACCCAGTATTGTTCAGCGCTCGTTTCACTTTCCCATCAGCAGTATCCACCTTCAGTCATGGTTGGGATCCTCTTTTAAAAGTAGAAGCATTAAAAACTTATCAAGATACATCGATCAATACAGAAAAGAATTATCGAGATTGCATTTTTGTCATACAGTCCACGTCGCATTTTGCCATATTTCTTTTTGCGCATCTTTCCCTCATAGCAAACTAACAGTAAGAGGGGCATTGCCAAGAATATTGTGTCTGAAGCATCAAACTGACATCAGTGAAGGAGCCAATCTATTTATTTAATTCTATTAATTTTAGCTTGGTATTTTTTGCAATACCCCCTTGTAACCAGCAGGTGTCCTCAGTGTGCTACTAGCACATCTGACCAGTGAATCCAGCTCGTGTAACCTATCGAATCAAACAGGGAATTTAATGATCACAGTTCTGTATTTTTTTCAAATGCAGAAGCAGATGCTTAGATTGAAAACAAACTTTTCGTTAGGCGATTATTTGTTTACCTAGAGAGTAACAATGTGCGCTAGTAAAATAAACATTGTAGAGCTGCAGACTTCAGCTCCCATCAAAAAGCCTTTGTGCTTCGTAACTTTTGCTGCTATACAGAACTGACTGTAAAATGATAACCGACACAAATACGATACAATGATAATAAATACAATAACGCAGAGAGCTCCATAAGCACATGAAGAGGGTTATACCGGTGTAGAGGTCATCTGTGGGTGAGTGGTGCTTGCTCTCAATCAGGTCCAGTGTGGAGAGGCTGTGCTGCAGCGGCTGAACCGTCAAACACTCGCTGAGTCCGTCCTGACTGAGATCTGAGCTGCGTCTCAACTACAACACAACACACAGTCACACTCAAGACTGAGGGAATTCATACATAATAATACAGCAGACATTTTTTAAAGATGTTGGTCAGATTTTAGGGGCAGTTCACCCAAAAAAAAAAATCTGCCATAATTTCCTCATCCTTCACTTGTTCTGTGGAACACAAAGGAAGATGTTTAGAAAAAATGCTGGTTGCTGAAACCAATTTACTTCCATAGTATTTTTGTTTTCCTACTATGGAAGTCAGAGCAGTTTTTTCCAGCATTCCTCAAAATATCTTCTTTTTTGTTCTACAGATGTAAGAAACAAATAAAGGTTTAAAACCACATGAGGGTAAAACTTTGAGGGTTTTGCTTTCTCGCTTGCGCTCGCGTCTGCATCTGTATTTGACTTCTTGAGTGGATGACAATAATGTGCGCGTGATTATTGAAGTGCCTCAGACATGGAGTGTCTGTTTTATACCAAAAAAATGCGTATTATTTACACACTGATTTTTCCTGTCTTTTGAAGTACATTTAAAATTACGTAAAATTAAAGTAATAAATTGTAATTACTTGCTCTGTAAAAAAGTATATATATATCGTAAAAAAAGGTCACATGACTTGCAGCTGCGGCTGCCAAACAAAAAACATAAAATTATGGTAAAATTTATTTGTTGAAATAAAGCGCAAAAAATAATAATTCTACAGATATTTTCATTAAAATGTTTACAGAAAAGCCAATAACAACTCTAATTTTAAAGTTGTGAGAATTGTAAGCAGTTGTATCTCATTTGTTGTTTTTTCCAGACTTTATTGATCCAAAATAAAACTGTTAAATCACGAGCATGAGCATGTGTCTTGGCATTTAATTAAAGGTGTTTAATCGTAATGATTTATGGAAAATTCTTTTAAATAACATTGTTTTCTCTTGAACTTTTAGTGCAGGCACTTTATTGATGGGGTTCAATTATAATAATCTAGGAAAAGTCTGTAAAATTACAGTGTTTCTCTGTAAAACTCTTAGTGTGTAACTTTATTGAACGGATTTGATGGTAATAATGTAGGAAAAGTCAGTAAAATAACAGTGTTTATCTGTAAACATTTTCATGAAAATATCATTAAATGAAATATTATTAAATATAATTTAATGAAAATATTTATTATTTTTTGCACTTTATTTCAACAAAGAATTTTTATCGTAATTTTATGGTTTTTGTTTATCAGCTGCCAGTTATTTGACCTTTTTTACGTTTTTTTTTCTTTTTTTTTTCAAATATATTTTTATTGAACATTTTAGTGCAAAAACATGTCAGAAAATTACATCGAGTAGAAAGATAGTATCTGTCATACATGTAATTTGAGTTCTGACCCCCACATGAAATATAAAAATAAAATAAAAATAATAGTAATAAAATTAAATTGTAATTAAATAAACAACAAATAAATAATAATAACACTTGTAATAATAAAAATAATGATGACAAGAAAAAATACAATATTATATTGCAAAAAGGCATATTAGGATTTTTTTTTCACAGTGTACTGTACCTCTCAGTGGAAACAAGACATGTGTATTCTCAACTCCATTTGCTGAACTGACTTGTTACACTGACAATAAGAAGACAAAACCAAAGCCAAAATATGTTTTGCTTGTCTGAAAAATGCGTCTTAATTTAAGCATTTTTAAGAAAAAAGCGGCCAAGTACACAAGAACAAACACAACACAACCAAGAATTAAACTCTGATTTCGCTCTGACTGCATTTACCTCACAAATAAAGCAAACAGATGACAACAAGCGGAGATAATGGCTCGTATAATTGGCTCATAATCTTTTGCTTAATTGAGCTGAATATACAGTAATTAATCATGAGCATATGGTGTAATATCGCCGCTTAAAATACCGCTGCTCTCGACCTGCGTGCTTATATTTAGCGAGTCTAATAATACATCGCGAGTGGCTGATTGGTGCGAGTGGATGTTGCGGCACTATTTTCCCTCCACCTGAGGAATCCGTATCTATGGTGACGTGACCTTTATTTTGTGCCTCTGTCATAATGAACGGCTCCTACACAAAGCTGCTATAACAAGTTACAAGTTTTCGAGATTTGGTTATCAACACCTCCAACGACCAGTTCTATACGCACTTCATCTCAAACGCACAACTCTTGCCGTTTCAAGGCAGCGGACGAACGCACACATTGTTGAAATATGTACATCGAAGGTACACTTTGGTACATTAATAATCCACCTTTGTACATTCAATGTACATATTAATATGTCATTATTCATTCATTCATTTTCCTTCAGCTTAGTTCCTTTATTCAGCAGGGGTCGCCACAGAGGAATGAACCGCCAACTATTCCAGCATATGTTTTAAGCAGCGGACGCCTTTCCAGCTGCAACCCAGTGCTGGGAAACACCCACCCCCACACACACACACACACACATTTGTTTTTGTGAAAAGTCCATTCATTTAATACTGTCCAAACCATATATTGTATTGCCCTCACCCCACCCCACCCCTAAACCCAACCATCACAGTAGACTGTGTGCAGCTTTACCCTCTGATTAAACTCATTCTGTAGGATTTATAAGCATTTTGAGAAATAAGGATGTCACCAATGTCCTCATATTTCACCTCATTTTTGTAATACCTGTGTCATACCTATGTTATTATACAGATTTGTGTCCTGATATGTCACAAAAACACGTACATACACACACACACACATATATAAACATAAACACAGCAAATAATAGTATAGTAGATTAATATAAAGTATAATAATAATAATTAAATACAAATAAAGTAATAAAATAATAAATCAGAATAATAAATCAGCTCTCTCTCATTGCCATTAGGTGAATAAATATACGTGTGTGTGTGTATCTGTGCATTGTATGTATACGGTATGTATGTGTATGCAGTGTGTATATGCAATATGGTTGTGTGTGTGTGTGTGTATTTACATGTAATGATTTTTTTCTTGACATTATTTAAAAAAAATTACATTAACATTTTAAATAATAAGCGGTATCGATATCGGTATCGTAAAAAATGTAACAAAAAGTATCGGTATTGTATCGAGTTAAAAAATTGTGGTGACGCCCACCCTTATTGGACACTTCACGCACTCAACGACCGCAGGTTTGCTCATGTAGCAGAAGGGGCGGAGCTATCGGGCACATGTTGGATAACTTTATTTATTTTGGATTGTGAAAGCTAAATTCTCCTACGAGAGTGATTATAGCGCCTCCCGATGGTGAATGTGATTATACTCATGGCAGGTGTTATTTGATAGTTCGGTCATTTTTTTCACTGATTTGGCATCCGTCAAACGTCATCAGGGAAACGGTTTGTAGTAAAAAAACATCAGTGCTCCATTTGGGACGACACTACATACATATACTGTGCTGTTGAGTGTGTAAGTGCATAGTGCATGAGTGCATAGTGTGCCATTTGGGACGCAGCTGTTGATTAGCCTGTTCAGGTGTGTTTGATTAGGGTTGGTGCTAAGTTCTGCGGTACCCCGGCCCTCCAGGAACAAATATGGTGACCCCTGCCTTAAACAAACGGTTAAAAGTTTATTTATTTCATGTTTTAAGTTGTTAGTTGCTCTCAAAATCGCTCCGCATAAATCTGCAGATTAATTCTGTGGATAAAACACAAAAAGCTTCTCGATTGTGTGTGTGTGGCTGTGGTGACGAGTACATGATGACTGACTTGTGTGTGTTGGTGTCTCTCGTACCTTCTTCCGGGCCTGCTGCTCCTTCAGCGAGTGAGATTTGACGTGTTTCCGCAGTGAGCTGGGGTCGGTGTAGCGCTTTCCACAGCCCTGGATCTGACACGCGTACGGTTTCTGCAGACACAAAGTGTGTGTGTGTGTGTGTGTGTTAGAGAGAGTGTGAGTGTGGAGCTGTGCAATGACATGTTCCTGCACACCTGGAGGGGCTGGAACACATTTATAGGACCCTGCTGTTCCTGATCTTACCAGTAGGGCAATGAATCCCAAAAGTGTGTCTCTCTGTGTGCACTGTAAAAAATATTGGGTTCCACACAATCGATTTGTGTTGGGACAACATGAAGGAATTAATTTAACTTAGTTGTTTTTACTAATTTGAGTGAATTGAACATAAAACAGTCCCGACAAAATCTCAAGAATTGTGTTGTTTCAGCTTATTTTAAATAAGTACTTTGAACAAGGAACAAAAATATTTTTGGAGTGTGTGTGTGTGCACATACGTGTGTGGAAATGTGTGTCTCTCTGTGTTTGTGTGTATTTCTATATTTGTGTGTGTCTCTCTGTGTGTGTTTGTTTATGTGTGCATGCACATGTGTTTGTGTGTGTCTCTGTGTTTGTGTGTGTGCATGCACGTTTGTTTGTGTGTGTTTGTCTGTGTGTGTATTTGTGTGTGTCTTTCTGAGTTTGTGTGTGCATTTCTGTGTGCGCGTATGTATGCATGTGTGTGTGTGGATGTGTGTGTGTCTTTTTCTGTGTTTGTGTGTTTGTGTTTCTGTGTGTGTGCGCATGTGTCGATGTGTGTGTGCATGCACGTGTGTTTATGTGTCTGTCTCTGTGTGTGTTTCTTTCAGTGTTTATGTGTACATCTCTTTGTGTGTGTCTGCATGCATATTTGTTTGTGTGGGTCTGTCTTTCTGTGTGTGTGTGTGTGTGTGTGTCTTTCTCTCTGTGTTTGTGTGTGCATTTCTTTGTGTGTGTGCATGTGTGTGTGCATGCATGCTTGTTTGTGTGTTTCTGTGTGTGTGTGAGTGTATGTCTTTCTCTATGTTTATGTGTGTGTATCTGTGTGTGTGCATGCATTTGTGTTTGTCTGTGTGTGTGTGTCTTTCTATGTGTGTGTGTGTGTGCGTGTGTGTGTGTGCATGCACTTGTTTTTGTGTGTCTCTCACTGTGTATTTGAGTATTTGTCTTTTTCCATCTGTTTCTGTGTGTGAGTGTGTGTGCATGCACATGTGTTTGTGTGTGTCTCTGTGTGTGTTTGTGAGTGTGTTTTTCTCTCTCTGTGTGTGTGCATGTGCCTCTGTGTGAGTGAGTGTGCATGTACGTGTGTTTGTGTGTGTCTTGCTCTGTGTGTGCATGTGTCTCTATGTATGTGCGTGTATGTATGTCCGTGCGTGCGTGTGTGCTCACCGTGTCCACATGCGTGCGCTGGTGTTTGGCTCTGTCGCTGGAGTTGCTGAAGGCTTTCAGGCAGCCGGGATGTGGACACACGTAGGGTTTCTCACCCGTGTGGCTCCTCAGGTGGATCTTCAGGTTCTCCAGGCGGGAAAACGCCTTCTGACAGCCCTCGAACTGCAAAACATCCACACATCAAGAGCTCAGTTCAGAGTTCCCACTGTCAATAAAACATCTCGGACCTCTCTGTACTTTACCATTCTGTCTATACACATATATATATATATATATATAATTTCCTGGCATTCAATGTCTGAAATACCCCTAAAATCGCATGATATTCCAGAAATTGCAAAAGGAACCCTGTCAGACATGTGCATTGTTTTCTGTGCTGTATGACACAAGATGGCCAGCAGGGGTCAGTGTTCTGCTGCTCATATGTTCAGTCGATGTCTCTTTCATGACAGTGTACAGAAAGCAGTATTTCTGATAACTTTGATGTCATTTGCCTCAAACTACACCATCGGTTTCCTGTTGTGTGCCATTTCACGCTCCCTCTGCTTACTGTGTGGCATCATCATAAGATCAGCTGCAGAATTGTCTGGCAATTGTACGCATATGCTTTATTAGATGAGCTAATTAAAATAAGAGAAAGAAGTGTAGTGTGGATAACAGGCGACATGTTTTCCTCCATCCTCTATAGCTCAGAGTAATCAGACAGATGATGAGGCTTCGTTGCTTCACGCTTAGGCATAGTTTTCAGCAAAACACACAGTTATTAATTAAAAACTCTGTCATCAGGCGGCACGGTGGCTCAGTGGTTTGCACTGTCACCTCACAGCAAAAAGGTCACTGGTTCGAGTCCCGGCTGAGTCAGTTCTGTGTGGAGTTTGCATGTTCTCCCCGTGTTGGCGTGGGTTTCCTCCGGGTGCTCCGGTTTCCCCCACAGTCCAAACACATGCGCTATAGGGGAATTGATCAACTAAATTAGCCATAGTGTGTGACAATGAGTGTGTATGGGTGTTTCCCAGTACTGGGTTGCAGCTGGAAGGGCATCCACAGCATAAAACATATGCTGGAATAGTTGGCGGTTCATTCTGCAGTGGCGACCCCTGATCAATGAAGGGACTAAGCTGAAGGTAACTGAATGTTGTAACCTTAATTAAATGACATCACAGCGGCTGTCCTCCTCATGCTGGAGGAATGTGAATCTCCCGATCTTTGTCCTTTCTAATGTCCGCTCAGGAATGCCACGGTCTCGGATAGCAGAAAGCAGCGAGCTGTAAAGCACACGTCCTGACCTCATTTATGTTTTCGGAAATATGCTTCAGAAATCAATGATTAGCCACGAAAGTTCCTCTGAAAGTGACTTCAGCAATAGCTGGAATTCCTCTGCTCAGAGCTCATCTTATATAAGAGGAATCTGCTGACGTTAAAGGGCTAGTTCACACAAAAATGGAGATGCACTGTTAATTTACTCAGGCGGCGCAGTGGCGCAGCAGGTAGTGCTGTCACCGCAAGCCAAGAAGGTTGCTGGTTCAAACCTCGGTGAGGTCAGCTGGTGTGTCTGTGTGGAGTTTGCATGTTCTCTCTGCGTTTGCATGGGTTTCCTACGGGTGCTCCGGTTTTCCCCCACTGTCCAAACCAACCCAAGCTCATTCTGGAAACGTAGCCCTGCGGACATTTCTGGAGACCGCGATTTACGTAGCCGGAGGTACGTACAGACGCGTTTAGTTTTTTTCGAGCGAACGCTGCAGGGCGATGCAACCAGTTTGTCCGCTTAGCTCACAGTGTTGCGTTGGCGGAGCGGAGGCCCCGGAGGAGGAGCCGGCCGCAGGGAGGACGACCGAGATCGGGTCCGGGAAACAGCGGTTCCAGAAATCAGGTAAGATGAAAAACGGAATCCAAAAAATAAGGGTGAGAATGCGGCGGGATCCAAAAACACGGTCGAAATCGAAGACGAGGGCTTTTGTTCGGTTTTTTTTTTGGACGGCTTTTGCAAGCTGTCGCTCGGGTGTAGGGAAGGAGGAGGAGGAAGAGGAGGGCGGCCGGGTCGGCCGATCCGGTGGCTTTTCGCGCGAGAACAGCGCGGGCGCGAACGGCGCGAGCTCCCGGGAGGCGCCTGAGACGTGAAAAAGCGTGCAAAGCGGCCTCTCGTGGATCCGCGAAAACAAAAAACGCTCGAATACATACCTCCCGGGACGTATCTCGCGGTCTGCAGAAACGTCCGCGGGGCTACGTTTCCACAATGAGCCTGGGTTGGTCCAAACACATGCGGTACGAGTGTGTATGAGTGTGAATGAGTGTGTATGGATGTTTCCCAGAGATGGGTTGCAGCTGGAAGGGCATCCGCTGCGTAAAACATGTGCTAGATAAGTTGGCGGTTCATTCCTCTGTGGCGACACCGGATTAAAAAAGGGACGGCCTCTTCTGAAAAGAGCTCAATCTCATTTGAATTTAAAGCGACAGTCACCAAAACGCCGCAATTAGGATTAAAGCCTAAAGCGGTCAGTTTCAGAGAGCTGGAGAACATTATTAGTGTGCTTTTTTCTGCTCAAACTTTACTACACACTCATCAGAGACTTACTTTACATCTAGTAAAAGGGTTTTCTTTAACTATCCCAGCTGTCCTTTGGCTCACAAAGAGCAGCCACAAAAAAAGGAAGGTGATCAATAAGCATTCAGATCTGGCCTGCTGGGGAAGCAGACGGGTGTCCAGCGTGTCTGTGCACTCCAGGACCTTTCGCATGCACTTTATGTAATAAAAGCAGAGAGCGAGGCCTGAATGGAGGCAGCATGGCTCCAGTGTGCCGTTCGCAGTCCCAGCGGTGGCAGCAGGCCATGCGGCGGTGCATTATAATGCCAACAGGAGCGGGCGAATCCTCCGCGTGCCAGCACTCGGGTATCACCCAAACAACTACAACTCTCTCTGTTTATTTAAGGTTATAGGAAGCCCAGAGATTAAAGGGATAGTTGACACAGAAATTAAAAGTGTGTCATCATTTACTCTCTCTTTTACTTAAGCGTTGTGCAATATAATATGGACACAGTAAGTAAACGTTTAACTGTCCCAAATGTTCAACCTAAATGAATGCCAATCTTCAACACTTTGGTGCATAGATCAAACTCATTTTAGAGAAGACGGATGTCAGATTGTAGCAGAAAAAGTTCAATAAAACTAAAGTTATGTGCCGTTATGTTTGTGAAATTGGCAAAACTAATAAATGTATGTTTTATTATATGACATAAAATACAGTTTACACAACTTGTTAAAGTGACCAAAACTCAAAGCTAAACATCAGTACAAATTATATTCCAAATTTGAAGTTGATATCTCAAAAGAAATAGCTTTCAGTGTGATTTTGTTTGAATGCATTACCAAGCATGACCACCAGGTGATATTCAGTTTACTCTGGTGATCATACAATTTTTTGAGGAGTTGGAATCATATTTTTTCATACTTTTGACAGTATTTTTAAAGTAGACATACAATTCCAAAGTAGTATGTATGACTGCATTTCATCTTTAAAACCAACTCTACGAGGCGGTGTGATGCTGTTCCTTTTCACGCTTACCAGCTGACCGCGTTGACGTTGGCGTACTTGTGACATGGAGCTGAGTTAAGCGTGAGGACGAGGTTCGAGTGGCAAGGAATGGTTTCAGATAGCAGACAAGACCAAAACAAAAGCCAAAAAATAAAATAAACAAGTAAACAACAGGGTGAGAATGTGGCAAAATCTGCAAACATGGTAAAATCATGCTGTCGTCAGGGCTTTTTTTGTCTGGATTGTTTATTAAAACACTGTCGGTTGGGTTTCAATCAGGGTCAATCGGTGCTTTTGAAAACACTGTGGGTTGGGTTTAGGGAAGGGGTGGGCGGGTCAATCAGTGGTTTTGAAAACACTGTCGGTTGGGTTTTGGAAAGGGGTGGGCGGGTCAATCAGTGGTTTTGAAAACACTGTCGGTTGGGTTTTGGAAAGGGGTGGGCGGGTCAATCAGTGGTTTTGAAAACACTGTCGGTTGGGTTTTGGAAAGGGGTGGGCGGGTCAATCAGTGGTTTTGAAAACACTGTCGGTTGGGTTTTGGAAAGAGGTGGGCGGGTCAATCAGTGGTTTTGAAAACACTGTCAGTTGGGTTTAGGGAAGGGGTAGGCTGGTCAATCGGTGCTTCTGAAAACACTGTCGGTTGGGTTTTGGAAAGGGGTGGGCGTGTCAATCAGTGGTTTTGAAAACACTGTCGGTTGGGTTTTGTAAAGGGGTGGGCGTGTCAATCAGTGGTTTTGAAAACACTGTCGGTTGGGTTTTGGAAAGGGGTGGGCAAGTCAATCAGTGGTTTTGTATGGCGGTCAGTCAGTCGACAGCGGCCTCTGTTGGATTTTACGTGAGAACAGCATGCGCGAATGCCACTCATGAGAGAAATTTGAGATCTGTATAATCCTCTGGTGGATTCGCAAAAAGCAAAAACTGCAAAAAATTTATCTCTTGGGATGTATTTGGTGCTCTCCAGAAATGTATATAGGGGTATGTATTCAGAATGAGCCTGGGTTTAATAATACGAAAGTCAGTGATTACAACATTCTTCAAAATATCCTCTTTTGTGTTCAGCAGAGCAAGGAGAATCATACATGTTTGGAAACACTTAAGGGAGTTATAAGTGAGCAAATTTTCATTTTTTTTTCTGAACTCTCCCTTTAATGTGTCTCGACTGGGATCGGTATTTGAAGAGATAAATGGCTGCACAATGAACTGCAAAAACAAACGTGAGGTCTTCATGTTCTTACTCGGGGTTTGAAGTGAAAGGTCGATCAAAATCGTAAAGTTAACAAAAGGAAATTGGAGAATGAAGGATCGCTCGCATGATCAAAACCAGAGTCAGCTTCAGAAGCGACGGCCGTTTGAAGCTCTATTGTTTGAGATCGGATCTGTTAAACGGCAGAAAGCTGGTGATCCCATTTCACATCAACAAAGACTATGATTCGGTGTTTCTCTCCTCACAGCTGTGATTCCTGGCAGATCAGATCATGACGAGGACTGTATTTACCGACGGAAAGGAAAAAACTCTTTAAGTTTAATCAGATTAACACAAACACAGCCCGAGGCGCCATACCAAACTAACATTTACAGCTGAAGTCAGAATTATCCGCCCTCCTGTGAATTTTCTTTTCTTTCTCAAATATT